GCAGGGCGGGCCGGCGCCCGCGGCCGTCTAGTCCTCCTGGTTTCTGCTGGTTTTCGCGTTAAACTACTAACTTTCTTACTATGCCAGCGGGGTCTGTTTGTGCACACGCACATGCTTGCGTGAAAACACCACCCGGGTTTTCTATAACAGGGTAGCGACTCACAGGGGAGTGAAGCGTATGCAACAAAGGATCTCCCTTTTTGACAATTTTGTGGGGAGCAAGCTCCTGAATGAACATATAGTTTATCTCCATAGCGCTATTTTTTCAGTTACTAGTTCACTCAGATTTTTCCGATGGTAATGCGTTTGCCTTGTTTGTGGATTCAGTGACAGTAGACTCACTCGAGTGGACTTATTTTCTGGTGATCTGCACCAGGTATAGAATAAGTAATACCGTCTTGAAAGCATTTTGCCCACGTGACAAAAAGTGCTGATGCAGCCTTGTGCCAGCAGAACTTTTTTTTTTTGGCAATTTTTTTTATTTTCAAGTGGAGACTTTGTCATAGAAAACTTCCAGCCAGATAAGTATATATGACATGAAGGGCTGTAGTTTCACAAGTAGCTGAGCAGGTGGTTGCTCCCACCTCTAAAAAAGTGGAGATCTTGCTGCTACTTCTAGCTGCGTGGTCCTTTACCAGATCTGCCCATGGAAATGGGGCTCACTAGATACTTTTTTGAGCTGTTTTAACTCACTAACCCATCAAAATATGTCCATTTTTTTGCTGGGTTTGTTTTCTGCCAGGTTAGTGAGTTAAAGCAGCTCATGGAGCAATCTGATGAGCTTTGGAGCTACCCCAAGGTAAGTGACAGGAGTGGATGGCTGGGAGCTGGGTTGGAAAGGGGAGATTAATACAAATGAAGAGTGGGGACTGCATTCACTTTCTGGATTAGTTTAGCACCTCAAGAAAACACACCCTGTATTTATGCTGTGCTATAAAAGCACATTTTGAGTGTTCTGGCAAACTGAAAAGGCGAGAGGTGTCATACGAATGCGTAACAACCTGCATGAAATTTGTACTGCCAGTGGCTTCAGTGGTGCACAGATCCTAGTGTTAATAAAAGTGGCACACCTTAGCTGCTTTTCTTGAGCTCCTTGGAAGTAATCTGCAGGCCCCAGTTTGAGGCCCTTATGCCCCTAGGTTGACAGTGATTCTGAAATGAAGTCACATGCCTGCTAAGAATTACTACTTACAAATATGTTGATTTTTGCAAAGGGATGGAAATTCATAGCTAGTTTTTAACGAGGAGGTTTTGGTGGTGGTTTTCTTAAATTCTTATCTCTAAAAGTCTTCTTTTCACCAGCTGGTTTATATAGACATATTTTTTTTCTCTTGAGATCACTAAACTTAGTTTTCACGAAATGATATTTTAATGGGCTGATTTTCAAGCTGGAATAAACGTAACTGACAAGTCCATACTTTCTAAAATCTTTCCGTTATGTTAGGAGTTAAAGTTCATAGTTCATTGACAATCTGCTTATGGTATTCCTAATTGTAGACAGAAGGTTTGGTAAATTGATAAACTTTGTGAATACATCTGAAAGTATCTGCTGTCTTTCACTGTTGATTTCCAATTTTTTTCCAATGCAGTCTAATATGGTTATGTCAGATATTTCTCCAAATGGGAATTTATAATGAAATTCTGGATATCAAAACTGTATCATTTAAATAATGTAGAGAGGAAAATGAGCATTTTCCTTATGCTACTACTTGATGACTGTATGTTCCAGAGGGAGATTTTGTAAGTTATGTGAACTACAAACATAAAACCTAGTTTATCAGAATGGTCGGAGTGCCCGTTATGAGACAGCACTAGACGCCTTTTTTATAGAAAGTCCAGAAATAACTTTTAAAATGTTTGCCAACAAACAACTATGCTGCTGATGTTCCAGTCAGCTTTGTATATTTTGAGGTGGCTAGCACATACTTTACTATAATGAAAAGGAGTGCAATTTAGATACAGATGGATATAGATTTTTGTAAGCAGGGAGAAGTCCAGAAGCTGTTTCTATAACTTCTGTACACTACTGTGGTGTCAAGGTATCTCATTCAGGACTGGGTCTCCAAGCCTTCCAGGAGACAGATACTGTTTTACAACGTGATTACACTGTAACCAAAAACCTTTAAAAGAAGGTACAGAAAACGGATGAGGGGATTATGTAGCAAATTATCATTTATATAAAATATACAAGAGAAATAATGAGAAAAGATAATTTTGTGTTTTGTTTTATCTTAGAAAAAATGTAGAAGATTTCACTGGACCTAGAGAAAGAAGTGATCTGGGATTCGTCACATTTGACATTACTGCAGATATCCTTAATGAAAAAATGGTTTGCAAATCTTTGAAAAAAGAATATCTTGACATATATTTTTTGTTACCTTATAATCTTTAGATATTCAGAACTTGAGGGGGAAAAACAGCAATTTGTCTTGAAAACTAGATTTAAAGCAGTGAAAGATAGTATTTTATAGAGTTAAAGCAGTAATCTAGGACTTGGAATATCTGTTCTGTGGCTGGTAAATGATTTGGGGTGAATCATTTCCTCCTCATTATGCCTGCTTTTAAAATAGGGCTCAGTAATGAAGTGTGGTGTTACTGTTAAGTGAGGTTTGTATTGGTGGTTTGAGCTGTGAATTAATTCTAGGGATTACATAACATGATATTTTGACTATCATACTGAGTCTAATGAACTCTGGTGCAACTTTCAAACTCATCTTGTTGTGAGGGCATGGCTCTCAAAATTCTGTCTTTATCATAGTCATATACAAGTACTTGTCTTGCTTTGAAAATAGAATAGTCATAATCCTTCACTTGCTTAGATATTAAATTATCAGAGTAGTGTGAAATTCATCAAGAAGCATATGGAGGTCTGCAAAATTAGTCAGGTTCTTTCTCATTGCTGCTATCTTTGTGCAAGTTTTCTTTTTGCATTTCTCTTCTTGGCTTCCCTGATAGAAACCTCCCCTGCCTGCACCCCCCCCCCCCCCCCGGGGGGGGGTTATTTTGGATAGATTATTTGACAATAGGAGTGAATCCTTAGGATCTCGAATCTTGAAATAAAAATCCTATATTTTCTGCAGAAACCACTACCAAAGATGAGGCGGCGTGTTTTACCTCAGTTAGGTCATTACACTAAGCCTTGTTTTGCAGCACATTTGAGATTGCTGGGATTTTCCCTCTCTCCCATTTTTTTGTCGCTGCCTTAGACAAGACATTGATTTCATCTGTGCTTCTATTTTCCTGTTGTGGAGAAAATAAATTGTATAAAGCAAACCAAACAAAATGTAAATTTTGAATAGATATGAAAGCTGGATAAACAAGTTAATTGGATTTTGCAGGTTTCTGAGGCACAAGAATAAGGGGCTTTATCATCTGGAAGCACGGGGGAGGTGAACTCTTAAGTCGGAGTTTTACTTCTGAAATGCTTATATGTAAGAGGCTAAAATTCTTCTAAGCGGACAACCTTTATACTTTTGGGGGTGGGGGATATGGGAGACCTCTGGAAGAAATGTTCTTTAAAAAGAATTAGTCTGCAATATGTGGACATCAAATATTCTATGTTTTAACAGATGGAGTTTTTAGTAGCAGCAGTATTAAATTTACTTATAAAACTAGCAGTAGTATTAAATTTACTTATAAAACCCTTACTTAATCTTTTGTGCCCAACATAAATAAATCTCGCTGATCCTCAGCGTGTAGAGTTGTAAAATACGACCTTCTCTTTTAAGATAAGAGTTGTAAAACGATATTGGTACATATGTTCTTCTAGTTATAAAGGAGACACGTGGTTAGTCCCAGTGGGAATTAAATAAAATGACAGTTACAAAAAGAAAATTAGGGAAGGAGAAGAGGCAGTTCTCACAAACTCTTATTAACGTTAATTCATGGTGAACTTGAGGAATGATTTCAAAATCCTTTTTGTGTGGGCTTTTTAAACATCATTTGCCATTTTCAGTCAGATGACTAAAAATGTTCAAGTAAAATAGTTCCAGCTGTTCTTGTGGTAACAGTAATCAATTAGTTAACTCTTTACTTATTTCTTTTTTGAGTTAGAGGCTAAAAACATGATTCTGACTTGAGGTAAACAGAACAAGACACAACAGATATTTTGAGGCTGGCCTAGGGAATCTGTTCCATTTCTTTGTTGGGGTAATGGAGAATGGAATAAAAAGGCGTATCTGTGTGTGTCAGGAACTTTAAAAAAAAAAGGGGGGGGTTTAATAGCTGATCTTCATTGTCAATTAAATGTTATTTTCCTTAGCAGTTGCACATGATGCATTTTATCGGTAAATAAACAACAGACAAGTATTTTAAAGTATCAGATAGCTTTATTACGCTGCAATCTCCAATAGCAGTTGTCAGTTCTTTACTGTTGATAAGAAATTTGAGCAATTTTTTTACGATCTGATAGGCAGATTTTTTTCTTGCAGTATGTAGGTAATTGAATTTGATAATTCATAATGTTGCTTTCAGTGTGATATCCCTGTCATCTGGTAAATTTTTTTTTTTTTTTCAGTGTGGAAATTACAGGTTCTGTGAGGCTCTCTGCCCATTTTGTAAATATTTATATATTATTTAATGCTATTGGATCAGGGTCCATAGTTAGACACCTCAGTGTTTTTTCAGTAGAAATAATAGCCTGAAGACATTTAATAAATAATTTTGTCTTATGTTTAATGTTTTATAGCAGACTAACTAGCAGTGGATTCTGCTTACTGCCTTATAATGCCAAATACAAATCTCTTAAAATATTGAGGAAATCATATCTCTTTAATGTTATTTTTCTTAACTCACATACATCTGCAGAGTATATTTGACTGGAATGTTAAACAATTGTTTCTATATTTGTCTGCAGAATATTCAACAAAAAACAATGTAAGTATCACAAAGAAAGTCAAAGCTGTTACCAATTTTGTACTGCAGCTATTTTTAACATCCTGTAGTGCTGTTGGGAAGAATTAAGGCACCAGCATTTCCTACCAGTTTGAACTAGTTTCACTGACCGTCACAATTGTTATTTCATCAACAGTTTAACTGGAGGGATAGGAGGTTCAATAACTGATGAAACTTGATATGTGCCCAGCAGAGGGAGAAAAGAGTAACACAAGCTTTGTCGTCCATTTACAATAGCGGACTGTAAATTAGTTGTTTTCGCTTATTTGTCCTTTTTTTTTGTACTTTTCCCTAACTTTCTGCAATTGACTGCAGTTAAGAAATAGGATGTAGTAGCCTTTGGTCCAGTCAGTTGTATCAGATCTTTTGTTCTTAGATCACAGAACACATAATCACAGAAATACTTGCGCGTGAGCCATGACGCTTCTGCGTTATCTTGACTGATTTCTCAAAATTATGACCCTTGTTGCATCTTTTAAATTGGTTGTTACTGATGTTTCACTTGGGATATCTGCGGGCTTTTTTCATTTACCTGGCAGGAGCTATGTGGAACGGTTTATTGAAATTAATTATTCTAATAAACACCATATTGCCATGGCAACATTGAATTCTAGTTTAAACTAGTGTGGTTATATTGGAAGGATGGAGTGAAGATTTGGATTTTTTTTTTTTTTAACATGCTGCACAAAACTATCTCTTTGCTTTTTTTTAAATCTTAATTTTGTAAATTCTGGTGGATATTTCTGCTTGTGCTAAAACAAATTTTAGGACTTTTTATTGAGGAGTGGGACTTTGTTATGTTGTTTGATGTTTAATTTATTTTTACACTAGTTCTCACAAATAAGCACATTGCGAAATACTTTATCTAAATGGTAACATAAGTTACTAAACAGGCCTGTAAATATATGTCATCCTTACTAGGTAATTAACTCAAGAGAGCAGTATACAGTTTCAAATATTTAAGAATTTGAGGTATGTCTTTTTGAGGTAGTCATACAAATCCTGGAACTATGCTTACATTTAAAATATAATTTTTTTTCTTTTGCATTAAAGCCAGCAAAAACGTTAAATATCTTGGCAGTGTCATAATAGTACAATTCATCTTTCATTTGAAACAAAGTATAAATATGACTTTTGAAAAAGGAAAAAAAAGTCATACTCTGTAGTCCTTGAAATCTTCTGATCCTTAAAATAGTTTTGTCATGTTTTATTGAACTGTTTTTTTGTTGTTTCTGCTCATTACCTGTGCCACGCTTCGTTGTTTAGTAGTACTAATAACCCCCTCTCCCCAATATTGTTATTATAACAATAAATGTGTTATTTGTTAACTTATTTTTATGGATTTTTGTGCGTGTAGTTCAAATTCAGGTTTTCTAGATGGATAATACCTTGAAATTTCAGTTACTGGATATGCTCTGTTAATTTAGCTTCCTGATTTAATTATAATTGTATTAGGCTCTGAACCAGGTGGTCCTTTGGGACAAGATCATCTTGAGGGGAGATAATCCAAGGCTGTACTTAAAAGACATGAAGTCAAAATATTTTTTCTTTGATGATGGAAATGGTCTCAAGTAAGTAAATTATGATTTTTCTTCATAGCAACTTGATTTACTTACTTTGCATTTTACATACCTGTTGATGTTGCTGTGGTAAGGAAGCTATATTCTTTTGATGCATTATTTCAGTCTGTTGCATCTTTGTAGTTTGGTTATATCCCAAGATCACGTTCTGTTTCTGTAGACTAGAAAGCATCTAATAAGGGCAGTAGGCTGTGGAGCTTCTACTTCTGACATTTTGTCAATCTGTGGGTTTGGTTCTGTGCTGCCAGCCATGGCAGCACTTAACTTCTTTGGAGTTGAATAATAGTAGAAAAAATCTTATCTTGAGAGGAGGGAGTGTTCCATGAAGTAACTTTATGAAAATAGAAAGTTACTTCATCCTTATGTAAAATTAAAAAGCCCATTTTTTTCTGGATCAGTAAAGCTATTTGTATCCTAGATTAGTTAATCTGAGTATTCGTTAGCTGAATTGATTACTTTGAGTATTTGTGCTGATATTCTTTGTTGATTTTGCAGGGGAAACAGGAACGTCACTTTGACTCTCTCCTGGAACGTTGTACCAAATGCTGGCATTCTACCTCTTGTGACAGGGTCCGGACATGTGTCTGTTCCATTCCCAGATACCTATGAAACAACAAAAAGTTATTAAATTATAATATTGAATCCTAAGCAACATATTTTTATACTTGTATATTGTGAATAAATTTTATTGCGGTTTCTTCTCACATCCCATTGCAACCCTCCAATAAAAGGTACTTAATTTCCTCAGGTCTAACAGCATAGGAAAGGAAATGAAAGTTCAATTCTTTTTTAAATAAAACATTGAAGCTGAAACTTAAAGGGAAGGTTAATTGCTGAGTTACGGTTTGGGGTTTTTCTTTTGTTCTGGAAAACTGAGGACTCTCTTTGCTGGCCACCTGGGTATAGGACTACCTTTCTTTTAAATAAACATCTTAAAACCAGAAACTGGCCTGGTTGTTTTTTAAGGTCCTGTAATAGTTATTGGAGTTCTACAGAGATTAGGTACACAATCCAGAGTCCAATATCTACACGTACCTGAAGGAAATGGCTATTCTCTTTTACAGCTTTTGCTAAATGCATGCTTAGCATGTTGCAGTATGGTAGGCTTACTCCTTTCTAGGAATGTCGGCAGCTACTTTGGAAACTGATGGTTTGTTATCTGTCTGCTGGTTTGGAGATCTCATCTGAGTGCATTAACATAACAGGTCTGAAGTTCTACGATATAAAGCACTTTAGTAACTGCTTATAATATAGATGATAATGCAGCTGACTGGTAGAGCAAAAATAAATATTTTTCAGTGTATTAAGCATACATCAGTTAGGAAAGGGGAAGCTTTAAAAATTGCTTTTTAACAAGCTTTAAGTAAAGAAAGACTGTGTCTACACAGTAACCACTTGATTTTTTTTTTTTTTTTTTTTTACTGGGGTCTACTCTGCAAGATAAATGAAGACACTTATTCCAGGGTTTGCTGGGCTAACTAGACAGTGGAAGGGCTCTTTCTTAGCTAGGAATGGGATAATCTTTTCCAGAAAAGTCCAGGAAAACATTGAAGTACAGGATTTCTGACAGCAGTATAGGAGAGGACTCTATAGACAGATTTATCAGTTTGGATTTGGACATAAGTCCCTGGTTTGCAACAACCAGGAAAAATAGGAGTGTAGTCGTTTCATGAGCAAATTCAGTCAGTGCCTCTACTGAAAAAGATATGACCTATCTGTGGCAGCACATCCTACTCTCTCTATGTACTTCCTCCCTTAGCTACAGGTACAAATGCTTGTCATAGTTGGATAGAGAGGAAAAAAATACAGGATATAAGGACTGGGTCTTTGCAGTAATGATGGTTTATACTAACCAGCTAGTGTTTCTTAGTGGGAATAAGTAGTGTTTTTGTTTTTTTTTTAATCCAGAAGGAGGGGCACATGGCCATTATTCTTCTTCTGACATAGAATCTGAGCAAAGCATGGTAGACCTGAGTTCCATTTCTAATAATAAGTACTTTTATGTATTTATTAGAAGCTGATTTATTGCCAAACACCTGGAATGTTCTGAATGGAGTGGGGAATTTCAGTAAGAGCAAACATAGTTTGAAATTAAAGCTAAAAAGGTTTTTTTTTTTTTTTAGTATTACGAATCATGAACAATAATACAGAAACTGAAAATAATTGCAATGTGACAAACCTTGAGAAGAGATATAGAAGTTTGGAAGGTTAAGATTAGAAGACAAATAGTGAAAAAGATGAAGACAGAATTCTGAATTATGTCTGAATAGAAAGTTGGTCATTGATTTTAATTTGTTTTACATTTTAAACAAGAATACAATTATTGAAATTGGAAGTTTAAATGTGAAACAGAGCTGTAGCTTCCTGTACAATATTTAGACAAACTATGTAGAACTAAGACTCTATGCATGTAAATGTTCTCTTTTCCTAATAAACTGTGGTCTGCAATGGGACAGCAGCAAGTAACAAGAAACTTCCCTTAGCAGAGACTATTCTTCATAAGCTGCTGTTCTATAGCTTTAATTTTCCTCTGAAGGATGTAATGTCCGTCATCGTGGAAAGGGTAATGGAATACTTTGGCTACAGATGTTGTTTTCTGTGATGTATCTTTATCCTTAGAAGTGTACTAATTATCTCTCTCCCTGCTTCCTCTGTATGCTCCCTTGCCCCCCAGGTGGAAAAAGAAAAACCACTAAAGGTGCCTTGGCCTTTATATGTTATTTTTTATTTGCTAAATTGAAGATATTAAATGATTTTTTTTTTCAGAGCGTGCTCAGCACTTTCATGTGTTTATAAGATGTGTCCTACATGGCAATATTAACGCTGTTAAGACTTGACTTTCGAGTTTACACTTGAAAATTGTGACCATTATTTGTAAAGTACCTAATTGCTAAGTGTGCTCCTTCTTAGCTAAAAAATGCACGTTCTTGTTCACCTGTTCTTTTGGAATGGTTATTAGAGAAATACTGTCCTAGTATTTTGTGTTGAGGGTATGTGCTAGAAGTCATATTACAGTCGTGCTGCCTTTTGGTATAGATACCATCCCTCAAGGCACTGTTGGAGTAAGGGACCCCAGAATGACTTGCAGCACAGTCTGTCTGGCAGTGGCTCTGACTCATGGCTGGAGTGAGCTTGAATCCTACCTAGAGCAAACTTCAAAATCCAACAGAAGTTGAATACATGTTTCTGTGGCCTGCTTGCCCTGAACTTTGTACTTGCAGCAGCTTTCCTACTAGTATTAAGGAGCCCGCTATCTGCGCTTGCTGGCATCACTACACCATGGGCATACAACTAATACAGAACTATTTTCTGCAGAAAACACTGTTTGGAGCAGCAAGGATGCAAACAAGGAGAGGAGGCTAGAGCCAGGAATATTGCAATGCAAACAGCATGTGTATTGGGTAACAGGTAACTCTTGACTGGGCATAAAACAGACAATAGAAGAGCTAGAAGAGAAGTTGCATGCCTTTTGGTCGGTAAGGGAACAACAGATAAACCCTAATATGAGGCCAGGTAAACTAGTGTGTACAGTTAATGATTTTCAATGAAAGTAGTAGTCATACTGAAAGCACCACTCTGAAAATGCAAAAACACCCAATCGAACAGGGAAGAAGCAGTCAGCACACCTACTGGATTTCAGGTGAAAGTGAAACAAACTTGCTATCATTGAAAAAGGATTTTTGACTCCATTCCCCGCTTTTGACAGTAGAGGGTAGTGCAGTCTTCCCTTTTGTAGTGAGCTGACATAAGGGCTATTGATCTTGAGAAAACCAACTTGCTTTTAAAAAGGTAACTTCACTATTTATGAATTACCCCTGAATTGCTATTTACTTGCGCTACATGTAGGTATATTCTCTTTGCTGGAATATCTGTGAGAGCTGTTTAAAAAAATTTAAAAATATTTTCAAAGCAATATTTTAGGACAATTTTTCATTGTCACCCAGCATACTTATGTGAATTTCAGTTCTCTGAGCGTGTGTTGTTTTACAAAGACTAGCATAATCAGCCACTGTTAAATACCATCCTATTTTTTTCTGTGCTTTAATATGAAATCTAAATATTACTTTAAAGAATTAAATGTTACACAGAATTTAATACCATCACACAGAAGGGAAACAACTTTCAATTATTTTTTGAGATTATTGGTTGAGTTGTTTGTTTTCATTGAGAAATATGTAGTTTAATTTTATTTGTAAATTATTTTCCAGAATGTTTATTGAAGCTTATTTCTTGTGGCTTGGCATTCAACCACTTTTTCATGGATGCCTTTGGCAGCCTTCTTCTAATGAATTTAAAGGCTGTCAATGAAAGAAGTACTTTAACTAGAAAGACAAGGATCTGCAGTCAAAAACATAGATAAATCTACCTTCTTTCAGCAGAAATGGTATATTCCTGCCAGCAAACAGGAGCACAATTTTGAGATACTAAAATTGTGCGTGATCCTTGATGCTGCTCTAGGCTTTCCTGGAAAAAAGTTATAATGGATTTGAAGTGAGAGGACGTTTGAGCAGCCTTAAGAGATGGAGAAGTTACTGAGTTTATGTAAAAGTTCTTAGAAAAGAGAACTTAGTTTTATCGTGAGGACAAGATGAGTATAGATGAGCACTTATATGATACCCTAACTGCTTGCTCTCAGCTTCCCAGCCACAGAGCAGAGTAGGAGGCTCTATTGCCGTCTTGGTTCGGGAAGTAAGGAAGCAAAATCCTCAGCTCCTCTATTTAAAGCCTATTAAAAAATAAGTTGACGACACTATCTTGTGATAATTCTCAATCCGTGTATAAAATAACCTTCTTTCAGGGAAATAAATGACATGCAGTTCATCTTTTTTCTTCTGGTACATCTTAAACAAAGAAGTACAAATTACTACTACCAACAGCTAATTGTTGTCTTTGATGTGTTACTAACTAAACAATGTTTTATGCACTGATGCATAGAGCTGTATTCTCTAGCAGCTGTGATTTACTTAATGCAAAAAAGCTTGAAACCCTTTTGAACCAAAAACTCTTATGATGCATTTCAGATTGCAGTTTTTTTGAGGAATTGGAAACAGGCATTCTTGTTCTAGGACCAAGAAATGCAAGCTCTTAAAGTAGCTTGGGTTTTCAGTTGCTGTTAAAAGCATGCAGTATGAAACAGAAAGCCGTATGTGGATGAAAGCAAAATAACTATTTAAAATCTGTGTTTAAACCTCTAGTTCCCTGAACACCCAGTTGTAATTACTAATTAACACCACAGATACTGAAAATAGAAAAACAATATAAATTCCTTTATTCTGTTTGTTTATCCTTTTAGTAATTTTTTTTCCTGAACAATGAAACTAGAGCTGATTATTATGTTGCTTATATACAAAATAGAGTTCCTTCAATATCTTTGGATTACAAACAGTGAAAATATTATCCTTCTGAAAAGGATTTAAACAGAAGTTTTGCCGAAACAGTTCTATAAAATGAAAGTAATTTAGATGAAAACACAGATAATGGAAGAGCAATATGTTCTCGAAATTTGTATCAGAAAATACACAGAAAACAAGTATTTGAACTTCCAAATTTAAGTGTTTTTCTAATTTATTTGGTTTCTTTATTTTGGAAGAAAATTGAGATTTTTCTTTATTAAAACAGTTTACCATGCAAAAAAAAAAAAAACACAAAAAGTAGCTTAAACAAGCCAAACTGCTGTTGGGTCTTTTTCTGGAGCGCTCCACCACTCTCCTGGGAACGCTCTCAGCTGTGTTCACTGCCTCTGTTTTTGGAATCTGCAAATTCTTAAAGCGGTAAGGCACAGGTAAACAGGTCCTAGGCATTCCACTGGTAAGCTTTCTTTCTCCCCTAATATAGTGTTACACTAATATTCCTTTTATGCAAGTTAAGATTTAGTTTGTCCACTAATAACTGTTGTTAATTAACAGTTCTTAATTCACTCTTGTTTTCCCTGAGAAGATGATTAGAGTCCTCTCTATGTCTTTTCTATTTACGCCATGGTTCTACAGCATATGCTGAACAATTAAGGATCTGATTATAAAATTCTAAATTCTCTATGTATAAACTACTAAGGAAATCAACCTCTGAATCTATATGTTAACATTATCTAGAATTACAAGTCACTTGATTAAAAATAAAAATAACTGACCAAAATGCAGTATATAGGAACAATTTGTATTGCCCTCAATTTGTTCTTTATTGCTCACAAATGGGGTTTTGGGGGGAGATCGCCATTAAGATGGTGTTTAGCTGCATTATGCCATGAATCCTCTCAGTTTGTCTTTATCCTACTGGTAAGGTTCTCTACATAGCAATATATTTTGGATTTTTCAGTCCATTTTAATTTGTCTATAGTTTTTAAGTCCTTTTTTGACTTTAACTGTTAAGGAAGTTGTTTTGTTTCCAGAGTAGGGGTAATCAATTTTTCCTTGAGACTTGGCTTGTAATTTATTAAATATTTGTAAGGCTGTTTCAAACACCTTTCTTTTTCCAGTATACTGTGTCTGAATTGTGTGGAGTTTACACACCCTTTTTTACTGTAGGACTGAAGTGAAAAGTCTAATCTTTTAAATCTAGCAACAATGCTTGAGGTTTCTTTAGCTCCTCTGTATCTGCAAGAGAATTTAGTATAAATTAGGTGTGAAGGATTTTGTCACACACAGATTTTTCTGCTCTTGTACGCTGATTAACTGGAACACAAATACTGAACAGGGCAGGATTCTGCCAAGCTTTAATTTTAGGAGATTACTGAACAATACTGAACAATAGCTTTCTTTTAGTTAGTACTTTCTTACGTTTGATTAAAGCCAATACTCTGCTGCAAATTTAGAATGTCAAGTACTGAAAAGGCTGAGATAGGTTTCTTTTAAATGTTCTGGTTTTGACTGCGATGAGCACTGTCTTGTCTTCCGTACAGGCATACTCCAGTGCTTTTCAGCCTTGCAAGACAGTTCAGTGTTCCTTGTTAGTCTTTCCAGAAGGAAAGTATTGCTGGAGGAGTCACTTAGCTGCAGCACAGGTTATCCTCTTGAGACAGAGCATACTCTATCTGTAAGAGTATAGTCCAAAATTCAGGTGCAATGCAAACTGCTATCTGACCTCCTGTCCTCTTGGCCCTCCCCTGAGCGCAGTGCTAACAAAGCACACCAATCTCACCT